TGAGAAGGGGGGTTAGGGTAGGGCCTTGGGGGCTCGTGGAGGCTCCTGAGCAGCTGGGGTAGGGCAGGGCCTTGGAGGCTGGTGGATAGTCCTGAGAAGGGGGGTTAGGGTAGGGCCTTGGGGGCTCGTGGAAGCTCCTGAGCAGATGGGGTAGGGCAGGGCCTTGGAGGCTGGTGGAGAGTCCTGAGCAGGCAGGGTAGGGCAGGGCCTTGGAGGCTGGTGGAGCGTCCTGAGAAGGGGGGTTAGGGTAGGGCCTTGGAGGCTGGTGGAGAGTCCTGAGAAGGGGGGTTAGGGTGGGGCCTTGGAGGCTGGTGGAGCGTCCTGAGCAGGTGGGATAGGGTAGGGCCTTGGAAGCTGGTGGAGAGTCCTGAGAAGGGGGGTTAGGGTGGGGCCTTGGGGGCTCGTGGAGGCTCCTGAGCAGATGGGGTAGGGCAGGGCCTTGGAGGCTGGTGGAGGGTCCTGAGCAGGCAGGGTAGGGTAGGGTCTTGGAGGCTGGTGGAGAGTCCTGAGCAGATGGGGTAGGTTAGGGCCTTGGAGGCTGGTGGAGAGTCCTGAGAAGGGGGGTTAGGGTAGGGCCTTGGGGGCTCGTGGAGGCTCCTGAGCAGATGGGGTAGGGCAGGGCCTTGGAGGCTGGTGGAGAGTCCTGAGAAGAGGGGTTAGGGTAGGGCCTTGGGGGCTCGTGGAGCCTCCTGAGCAGATGGGGTAGGGCAGGGCCTTGGAGGCTGGTGGAGAGTCCTGAGAAGGGGGGTTAGGGTAGGGCCTTGGGGGCTCGTGGAGGCTCCTGAGCAGATGGGGTAGGGCAGGGCCTTGGAGGCTGGTGGAGAGTCCTGAGCAGGCAGGGTAGGGTAGGGTCTTGGAGGCTGGTGGAGAGTCCTGAGCAGGCAGGGTAGGGTAGGGTCTTGGTGGCTGGTGGAGAGTCCTGAGCAGATGGGGTAGGCAGGGCCTTGGAGGCTGGTGGAGAGTCCTGAGAAGGGGGGTTAGGGTAGGGCCTTGGGGGCTCGTGGAGGCTCCTGAGCAGATGGGGTAGGGCAGGGCCTTGGAGGCTGGTGGAGAGTCCTGAGAAGGGGGGTTAGGGTAAGGGCCTTGGGGGCTCGTGGACGCTCCTGAGCAGATGGGGTAGGGCAGGGCCTTGGAGGCTGGTGGAGAGTCCTGAGAAGGGGGGTTAGGGTAGGGCCTTGGGGGTTCGTGGAGGCTCCTGAGCAGATGGGGTAGGGTAGGGCCTTGGAAGCTGGTGGAGTGTCCTAAGCAGATGGGGTAGGCAGGGCCTTGGAGGCTGGTGGAGAGTCCTGAGAAGGGGGGTTAGGGTAGGGCCTTGGAGGCTGGTGGAGAGTCCTGAGAAGGGGGGTTAGGGTAGGGCCTTGGGGGCTCGTGGAGGCTCCTGAGCAGATGGGGTAGGGCAGGGCCTTGGAGGCTGGTGGAGAGTCCTGAGAAGGGGGGTTAGGGTAGGGCCTTGGGGGCTCGTGGAGGCTCCTGAGCAGATGGGGTAGGGCAGGGCCTTGGAGGCTGGTGGAGAGTCCTGAGCAGGCAGGGTAGGGTAGGGTCTTGGAGGCTGGTGGAGAGTCCTGAGCAGGCAGGGTAGGGTAGGGTCTTGGAGGCTGGTGGAGAGTCCTGAGCAGATGGGGTAGGGTAGGGCCTTGGAAGCTGGCGGAGCGTCCTAAGCAGATGGGGTAGGGCAGGGCCTTGGAGGCTGGTGGAGAGTCCTGAGAAGGGGGGTTAGGGTAGGGCCTTGGAGGCTTGTGGAGAGTCCTGAGAAGGGGGGTTAGGGTAGGGCCTTGGGGGTTCGTGGAGGCTCCTGAGCAGATGGGGTAGGGCAGGGCCTTGGAGGCTGGTGGAGAGTCCTGAGAAGGGGGGTTAGGGTAGGGCCTTGGAGGCTGGTGGAGGCTCCTGAGCAGATGGGGTAGGGCAGGGCCTTGGAGGCTGGTGGAGAGTCCTGAGAAGGGGGGTTAGGGTGGGGCCTTGGGGGCTCGTGGAGGCTCCTGAGCATTTGGGGTAGGGCAGGGACTTGGAGGCTGGTGGAGAGTCCTGAGAAGGGGGGTTAGGGTAGGGCCTTGGAGGCTGGTGGAGAGTCCTGAGAAGGGGGGTTTGGGTAGGGCCTTGGGGGCTCGTGGAGGCTCCTGTGCAGATGGGGTAGGGCAGGGCCTTGGAGGCTGGTGGAGAGTCCTGAGAAGGGGGGTTAGGGTATGGCCTTGGGGGCTCTTGGAGGCTCCTGAGCAGATGGGGTAGGGCAGGGCCTTGGAGGCTGGTGGAGAGTCCTGAGAATGGGGGTTAGTGTAGGGCCTTGGAGGCTGGTGGAGAGTCCTGAGAAGGGGGGTTAGGGTAGGGCCTTGGGGGCCCGTGGAGGCTCCTGAGCAGCTGGGGTAGGGCAGGGCCTTGGAGGCTGGTGGAGAGTCCTGAGAAGGGGGGTTAGGTTAGGGCCTTGGGGGCTCGTGGATGCTCCTGAGCAGATGGGGTAGGGCAGGGCCTTGGAGGCTGGTGGAGAGTCCTGAGCAGGCAGGGTAGGGTAGGGTCTTGGAGGCTGGTGGAGAGTCCTGAGCAGGCAGGGTAGGGTAGGGTCTTGGAGGCTGGCGGAGAGTCCTGAGAATGGGGGTTAGGGTAGGGCCTTGGGGGCTCGTGGAGGCTCCTGAGCCGATGGGGTAGGGCAGGGCCTTGGAGGCTGGTGGAGAGTCCTGAGAATGGGGGTTAGGGTAGGGCCTTGGAGGCTGGTGGAGAGTCCTGAGAAGGGGGGTTAGGGTAGGGCCTTGGGGGCTCGTGGAGGCTCCTGAGCAGATGGTGTAGGGCAGGGCCTTGGAGGCTGTTGGAGAGTCCTGAGAAGGGGGGTTATGGTAGGGCCTTGGGGGCTCGTGGAGGCTCCTGAGCAGCTGGGGTAGGGCAGGGCCTTGGAGGCTGGTGGAGCGTCCTGAGCAGGCAGGGTAGGGCAGGGCCTTGGAGGCTGGTGGAGCGTCCTGAGAAGGGGGGTTAGGGCGGGGCCTTGGAGGCTGGTGGAGAGTCCTGAGAAGGGGGGTTAGGGCGGGGCCTTGGAGGCTGGTGGAGCGTCCTGAGCAGGTGGGATAGGGTAGGGCCTTGGAGGCTGGTGGAGAGTCCTGAGAAGGGGGGTTAGGGTAGGGCCTTGGGGGCTCGTGGAGGCTCCTGAGCAGATGGGGTAGGGCAGGGCCTTGGAGGCTGGTGGAGAGTCCTGACAAGGGGGGTTAGGGTAGGGCCTTGGGGGCTCGTGGAGGCTCCTGAGCAGATGGGGTAAGGCAGGGCCCTGGAGGCTGGTGGAGAGTCCTGAGCAGGCAGGGTTGGGTAGGGTCTTGGAGGCTGGTGGAGAGTCCTGAGCAGTCAGGGTAGGGTAGGGTCTTGGAGGCTGGTGGAGAGTCCTGAGCAGATGGGGTAGGGTAGGGTCTTGGAGGCTGGTGGAGAGTCTTGAGCAGATGGGGTAGGGTAGGGTCTTGGAGGCTGGTGGAGAGTCTTGAGCAGATGGGGTAGGGTAGGGCCTTGGAAGCTGGTGGAGTGTCCTAAGCAGATGGGGTAGGCAGGGCCTTGGAGGCTGGTGGAGAGTCCTGAGAAGGGGGGTTATGGTAGGGCCTTGGAGGCTGGTGGAGAGTCCTGAGAAGGGGGGTCAGGGTAGGGCCTTGGGGGCTCGTGGAGGCTCCTGAGCAGATGGGGTAGGGCAGGGCCTTGGAGGCTGGTGGAGAGTCCTGAGAAGGGGGGTTAGGTTAGGGCCTTGGGGGCTCGTGGAGGCTCCTGAGCAGATGGGGTAGGGCAGGGCCTTGGAGGCTGGTGGAGAGTCCTGAGAAGGGGGGTTAGGGTAGGGCCTTGGGGGCTCGTGGAGGCTCCTGAGCAGCTGGGGTAGGGCAGGGCCTTGGAGGCTGGTGGAGGGTCCTGAGCAGCTGGGGTAGGTTAGGGTCTTGGAGGCTGGTGGAGAGTCCTGAGAAGGGGGGTTAGGGTAGGGCCTTGGGGGCTCGTGGAGGCTCCTGAGCAGATGGGGTAGGGCAGGGCCTTGGGGGGTAGGGCAGGGCCTTGGAGGCTGGTGGAGAGTCCTGAGCAGGCAGGGTAGGGTAGGGTCTTGGAGGCTGGTGGAGAGTCCTGAGCAGGCAGGGTAGGGTAGGGTCTTGGAGGCTGGTGGAGAGTCCTGAGCAGGCACGGTAGGGTAGGGTCTTGGAGGCTGGTGGAGAGTCCTGAGCAGGCAGGGTAGGGTAGGGTCTTGGAGGCTGGTGGAGAGTCCTGAGCAGATGGGGTAGGGTAGGGCCTTGGAAGCTGGCGGAGAGTCCTAAGCAGATGGGGTAGGGCAGGGCCTTGGAGGCTGGTGGAGAGTCCTGAGAAGGGGGGTTAGGGTAGGGCCTTGGAGGCTTGTGCAGAGTCCTGAGAAGGGGGGTTAGGGTAGGGCCTTGGCGGTTCGTGGAGGCTCCTGAGCAGATGGGGTAGGGCAGGGCCTTGGAGGCTGGTGGAGAGTCCTGAGAAGGGGGGTTAGGGTAGGGCCTTGGAGGCTGGTGGAGGCTCCTGAGCAGATGGGGTAGGGCAGCGCTTTGGAGGCTGGTGGAGAGTCCTGAGAAGGGGGGTTAGGTTGGGGCCTTGGGGGCTCGTGGAGGCTCCTGAGCAGATGGGGTAGGGCAGGGCCTTGGAGGCTGGTGGAGGGTCCTGAGACGGGGGGTTAGGGTAGGGCCTTGGGGGCTCTTGGAGTCTCCTGAGCAGATGGGGTAGGGCAGGGCCTTGGAGGCTGGTCGAGAGTCCTGAGAAGGGGGGTTAGGGTAGGGCCTTGGAGGCTGGTGGAGGCTCCTGAGCAGATGGGTAGGGCAGGGCCTTGGAGGCTGGTGGAGATTCCTGAGAAGGGGGGTTAGGGTAGGGCCTTGGGGGCTCGTGGAGGCTCCTGAGAAGGGGGGTTAGGGTAGGGCCTTGGGGGCTCGTGGAGGCTCCTGAGCAGCTGGGGTAGGGCAGGGCCTTGGAGGCTGGTGGAGAGTCCTGAGAAGGGGTGTTAGGGTAGGGCCTTGGGGGCTCGTGGAGGCTCCTGAGCAGCTGGTGTAGGGCAGGGCCTTGGAGGCTGTAGAGAGTCCTGAGAAGGGGGGTTAGGGTAGGGCCTTGGAGGCTCATGGAGGGTCCTGAGCACATGAGTGCCCTGTTGAATCCAAGAGTCAATTTAATAATCACTGTAAAGTTTGGAGACCTGAAGTCAATCGGCTTCAGGACACTGACCCCGACAGATACCCTAGCAGCACACTTCTCAGCCTCAGGCGAAAGCCGGAGGATCCAGTCCCGAGCCCCCGTGCAAACAGCACTCTCCCGAGTGAGCTGCACTAAACCTGCAAGGAAAACCACTTACGGAAGAGCAAGAACCTCCAAGTCACCGAAACCCAGACCCCGAGAGCGTGGTATGGCACTGACATTGACCGCGTCACATTCAGTTTTACATTCTCTGTGGTGCCAGACAGCGTGTTTGCTCGAGCCACCCCAAACAAACTCAGAATCTAAGTAAGAGAAGCGTGTCCACACTTGCTGTACGCACATGGTTTCAGGACAAGCCCCCCGGTGGTTGTCCCTTCCAGTCAGATTACTGCCCCAAAGCTCCTCGTAGGTGAAAATCCGAGAGTTACCCTGGGCAGAGTCTCCGGCCTCCAGGAGCTTGAATCTGGGGGCAGCTCAGGACATGCACACAAACCTCTTTGTTAATTGCTACAGTAGAAGCATTTGTCGAGAGAGAGTAAAGAATTTTGCATTTGGGGGTTAAAGAACCTTAAAAAATGTGACATTGGAGGAACGGAAAAGCTTTCTGGTTAAAGAGAACAGCAAGAGGGTAGGTTTGTAGGGAGAAATCATCAGAGGTGACAAACGGGGGCCAGGCAAGTGGTAAGTGGGGGAAGCAGGCCAGGCCAGGGAGCATGGGGCCTGTGCCGACTGGGAGCACATGCCCCATTGTTAAGGTGGCAGCACCTGATGAGCACCCGCGGACCGCTGGTGCACTGGAACTCAGGTCCAATGCTACCCCAATTTCTGGTATCTTCATTTCTTTAAAAAAAAAAAAAAAAAGATTTTATTTATTTATTTGTCAGAGAGAAAGAGAGCACAAGCAGGGGGAGCGGCAGGCAGAGGAAGAGGGAGAAGCAGGCTCCCCGCCGAGAAAGGAGCCCGATGCGGGACTCGATCCCAGGGCCCCAGGATCATGACCCGAGCTGAAGGCAGGCGCCTAACTGACGGTGCCACCCAGGCATCCCCAGAACTTCTGATTTCTTAAGAGAAGCTGAAAATCCGGGGTGTCATGCAAAATCTCCTGATTTTTTTTTTCATGTTTAGTATCTAAACCCAAATATATTTAAACACGATGTGGGCCAAACAAAACTGCCTGCAAAGGACTTTGAGCCTAAAGCTGGCCGGTTGGCTGAGAGGGCTGGGCCGCGGAGTGACTGGGGGAGCCTGGCTGGTGAGGGGACTGTGAGAAATTCGGGGAATCCGTCATGAAGAAGCAAGCTGGCAGACAAAGGAGTCAAGACTACCTTTTGTGGCATTTGAGGGGAGGAGGTGTCCCTTTAAGAAGCTTGAGCTGGGAGTGAAATGATCCGACCTGCACATCGGGAAGATTTGTCACCTGGCGGGGAGAAGGGCAGACCCTTGTAAGGAAAAGGCAATAAGGACCTGAAGAGACCAGTGGAGGTGAGGAAGGGGGAGAACTGACGTGAGAGATGTCTTGTGATAGAAGCCCTGCGTGGCTGGATGGCTGGGCGGGGGAAACCACACACGCCAGATACAGGAAAGGAATGTGTCAAGGTTAAATACTTTGAGTGTCAACCTCTCACTGATTTTTGGTGGGCATGAGGACAATGGATGGATAGGGGCCAAGTGCAAATATAACAAAGAGTACACTAGCTCAGGACTTCTCCACTTTGGCACTCTGGTCATTCTGAGCTGGATAATCCTTTGTAGGGGTTGGGGGGGCTGTCCTGTGCATAGTGGGGTGTTGAGCAGCATCCCTGACCTCTACTCACTAGATACCAGTAGCACACCCTCGCACCCCAAGTGGGGACCACCAAAAATATCTCCAGACGTTGCTAAATGTCTCCTGAAGAGGACAAATCAACCCTCGTGGGGACCTATTGCTTTAGTGTCAGAAGAAGGGAAATTCCCTATTTGCTGTTTCCCTTTTTTCTTTTCACTGCAGTGGTGGTGAGTATCTGTTCGGTTTTGGCCTGATAAAAGGCATAAGACCCTTTGTGAGATTTTTACCTAAGGGGCCAGAATTCTTAGCTAAGCCCTTGGTATATATGCTGAAGTCTGCATCCTTGATGAATTCAGGAGGGTGTTTCTAACTGGCTGGAAAGAGAGCTGACTTTGGAAAGAGGAACATCATTCTTTCTCCCCAACTATTTTCTTGTTTGTGCCCTCTCCCAACTCCACTCACAAAAAAGGAGGAAGCCTTAGTGAAAAGGGTAAAGATCCAAAAAGCCAATGGGAGCGGCCAAGGTACCTGGGGCAGTCCAGAATTCCAGCCACCTCAGGGCCAAAGCGAAAGGAAAGACAATCGGTAGTCTCACACCCAAATCGTCAGGGGCTCAATGAATTACGAATTACAGCTAAACATGATGCGGACTCATCGTGACTTGGATTACACAAAGCCCAAGTAAGAGATGTTTATTGCAATGCCTGGGAACCCATCCCTTCGGCTTCATCCTCCCGCAGACCAGAGCAGTGGCCTAATTCAATCTAAGATGCTCTTTGAGTAAAAGTACACGGAAATTACAAATAAAAGATTGATGTTGAAGAGAGAGCATTCCTAAACCTTTTTTTTTTTTTTAAACGTGGCTTAAAATTTAGGGTAGAGAGGAAGTGGGACTGCCTAGAACACTTGTTTTTGTTTTTGTTTAAGATTTTATGTGTTTATTTGACAGAGAGAGACACAGCGAGAGAGGGAACACAAGCAGGGGGAGTGGGAGAGGGAGAAGCAGGCGTCCCGCGGAGCAGGGAGCCCGATGAAGGGCTCGATCCCAGGACCCCGGGATCATGACCCGAGCCAAAGGCAGATGCTTAACGACTGAGCCCCCCAGGCACCCCTGCCTGGAACACTTGTACTCACGGTCAGCAGCTCAGTACTCTTATGGTCATGCCTCTGCCCTTTGTCTTTTGCCTCACAACTCTCACAATTCTCGGGACCTTTTCTGGAGGCTAACGACCGTCGTGAGCCTTATTTTTCTAGCCATTTGCTGCCATTACTATTCATTTCATTAGGCACTCCCTCAATCCGTGCCAGACAATGCCCACGGTGGCACTAAGCCAGTCCCCAGGGGCTCCTGTTCCAAGTGGAGACTTCGTAAAAGGCCGATGACATAATCGTTTTGGAAATGTTATTATAAACTTACTGTATAATGTTTATAGCAAATGTCAACAAGTATATATGTGTGTGGTGATGTGAGCGGGGGTGGGGGAGAGGTCTTAGGTTAGAAAGTGGCTGGCCTATCTGCAAGGGGATTCAGAAATAATAGTAATATCTCTCAGTTCTACCAGCTTCCATAGCTTACAAAGTGTTTTCATAAACATTACATCATTCAGTAATACATGCAGACAAGGAGTGATTCTGAACCTTGAATGCCAAGACTTATCTCAAGATTCTGCACAGGGAGGCCTGCCTCCTGGAAGCCTCCTTTGCTCCTTCTCTCCCAGAAGGTGCCCCTTCTTTGTGCCCCACAGTTCCTTGCTTTTGCCCTTATGAGAGCCCCCCCCCCCCACTGGTGGCAGCTCTTTGTTGGCAGGGCCTGCTTTTAATTAGGGGCTACCCCAGTTCCTGGAAGGACAGTAAATATTTATTGAACTCAAGGGCCATAATTCTCAGAGTGAGGCCGTTGTTTCGGGTAGGTTAAACATCCCCATGCCTGGAGACTAGGGGTGTTATCAGCATTTTTACTGCTATATTTTTTTGCGACAGATTTCGGGTGTACACATTGGCTTAATTCAACCAAAATACACCTGGGTTAGTGGGTCTCATCATCCATCCAGATCTGACCCTTTTTTGGGGGGTGGTGAGAGAATAATGCCCCTCCCCAAAGATGTCCATGCCCTAGTCCCAGCCAACGGGGAATACGTGACTTTATATGGCAAAGGTGACTCTGTAGATGTGATTCAATAAAGGATTCTGAGATGGGGATTATCTGGTAGGTCCAATCTAATCACTAAGGTTTTTATTAATGAAAAAAGGCAGCAGGAGGGTCAGAATCAGAGAAGTGACCTGAGCAGTGGCCTGGGCCGCCTGGAGAAGCTAAACCCTGCTGCTTCTCTCTCAGAACCTCCAGAAGGAACACAGCTCTGCTCACGCCATGATTTTGGCCCAGTGAGACTTCTGACCTCCCGAACTCTAAGAAAAACCCCGTGGCAAATCACTACATTTATGGTAATTGGTTATAGCAGCAATAGGAAAGTAACAGGGGTTCCCGTTCTCCTCCATCCCCAGCCTCATCGACCTTCATAGTCACTCACTTTCTGTGTGTCCTTCTGACTCACCGTCTGACTCTAAACCTGTGAAAAAGAAAAATGCAGAAAGTTGGTTGTGTGCTTTTCAGAATGCAAGTACTGGACATAGTATGGCACCGTCCTTCCCATTTAAAATTTTGCTCCCCACCACCACCCCCCCCCCCGACTCAACATTCTGTATTGCCAGCTTTCCAATACACCTTCCGGCCTTTTCGCCAAACACGCCCCTGCTAAGTCCCCCCTTAGGTCTTGGGCCCCGAGCCCATCCTGGGAGGTGGGGTTGGGATTAGGAAGGCTGGAGTCAGAGTTTAGGAAACAGGGGCTTAGAGGCCGACGACTGGGAGCCGCCTCTCCGGACTCCCAGGCCGCGGCTCCTTCCCGGCGGTGGCCCTGACCCGGGGCCCCGGGGCGGGGGGCGATGGACGGCGGCAGCCCCGGCGCGACCCAGGTCCCGCAGCTCCGCGCGCACAGGCGGCGCCGGCCGGGGCTGGCTCGGGCGCGCGGAGGGCGGGACCGGCGGGCGCCTGGGCTGGGCCGCGACGTGCTCGAGGAAGTCCAGTCTGGCCCGAGCCGAGCCGGGCTCCGGAGCGGCCGGGGCGGCGGCGGGGCCAGGGGTGGCGCGGCGCGAGGCGCGGCAGGCGCGGCAGGCGCGGCAGGCGCGGGAGGCGCGAGGACCCCGGCGCCCCGCCCCCTACGCCCGCGGCTCGCGGCTCGCGGCTCGCGGCTCGGGTTACCTGCGGCGGGTGGGCGGGGCGGCCTTTGCGTTCTGCGCCGGCCCCCAGTCTCCAGGGCGGCGGAGCCGGGAAGTGGGAGAGGGAGCGAAGGAGGCGGAGACCGCCGAGCCCCGCAGCCCGGCCGGGCTCCGAGGACAGGGGCTGCATGGAGCGGCCGGCGCGGCTCTGCGGGCTGTGGGCGCTGCTGCTGTGCGCCGGCGGCGGCGGCGGCGGCGGGGGCGCCGCGCCTACCGGTGAGTTTGGCCGCCGGCAGGGGGCGGCGGCCGAGGGGGCGGCTGGGGTCGCGGCCGACGGGGGCCGGGGGCTGCGGCGAGGGAGGGCGCTGGTTGGGGGGGGCCGGCCTCACGACGCCCCGCGCTCGGAGACCGCAGCCTCCGGCGCCCGGTTCGAGCTGGGGTTCCCGGGTCGCGGGCGGCCGTGGCGGCGGCGGCGGCGGCGGAGCGGGACGACTCGCCGCCGCACTTGCCTCGCATCGTCGCGAAGAGCCGAGGAGCCCGGGGCCCAGGCGCGGGAGAGAAAAGTGGCCGCGGTGTCCGAGGGCGGCGGGTCGGCACCCGGGAAGTCGCCCGGGAGGGGATGAGGGGGCCAGGAACCGGCGGGGTTGGCGACCGAGGTCCGGGCGCGCCGGGATCGCCCCGGGGCTCCTTGCCGGGGACCTCGCGGGTCGAGTGCGGGGGTGGAGTTGAAGGGAGCTCCCGAAGACCCCGGTGCTCGCGGAGAAAGGACGTGGGGGCCACGGCCTCCTCTGGCGTTCGGGAAATCCGTTTGGGAAACCCGGAGCAGCATCGGCGTGAAGGCCTTTTTGTTTTCTTTAATAGCCCTTAGATTTGGAAATAATTTTCGGTTTACAGGAGAGTTGCCAAGGTACTCCAGGGAGTTCGCATATACCCCTCGCCCTGTGTGGCAGCTTTTCATCAATCAGCCGGGCAGAGTTCTACCGGGAAAAGTAGAATGACTTCCTCACGGACAGCTCCCGGCTCGAGTGGCCTTCTGGCCACGTCGGGGGACCACAGTGGCTCCAAATTTGAGAGGTTTTATTACCATATTGACACAGACGCCCACAATTTGCTCACTGCATTTCCACCAGTGTGTTGGGCTTTGAAACCCAAGTTGAAGTGTTGATTGGGAAATCTTGATGCGCTCTATTGATTCAGTCCACAAAACGTATGCAGGCTGCTCTATGCCAGGTGGTGGTCTAGGGGCTGAGGACGCTGGGGGTGAGTGAAACAGACCAGGTCCCGCCCTGTACAGCTTCCGTGCTATTGGCAGAGTCCCGGGGTTGGGGGGTGCGGGCGGAGGCGGGGAGTAAAATATCAGGTTGTCAGATGGCACCAAGTACAAGGAAGAAAAACAAAGCCGGGAAGGGGTTTGCCGTTATAAATAGGGTGAAGTGGGAAGCCCTTACTGAAAAGGTGGCATTTAAAGTGGAGGCCTGAGGCAGGTTTGAAGTTTCCAGTTAATAATTATTCAAGCGTCTGCGTTGTTGAGCTCTGAGCCAGGCTCTGGGGGTTCTCGGAGAGCCTTAGGGTGTACAGCATAATCCTTGCCGCCCCCTACGTGCGGCAAGATCGGATTCTTAAACCCGTATGAGGAAGCTCAGTGCAGAGAAGGGAAGGGACTTGTTGAGGGTCACCCCACTCATTGGGTTCCTGATTTTCACCGCCCTGCTCCAACACCTTCCCTCCTACAGACTCCCACACAAACAGCTGTAACAACAGCTGGCCTTCTAGATAATGCCCGGCAACCCCCCACTTAATCAGTTTTGTCTCAGCGGTTCATTGGTAACTTGGTTACTTAGAATACAGAAACTTTTTTCCCATTAGAAAAAATATTGATAGGGGCGCCTGGGTGGCTCAGTCGGTTAAAAGGGGCTGCCTTCGGCTCAGGTCATGATCCTGGGGTCCTGGGATCGAGCCCCATGTCCGGCTGCCTCTTCCTCTGCCTGCCACTCTGCCTACTTGTGCTCTCTGTCGAATAAATAAATAAAATCTTTTAAAAAAATATTGATAGAATTGCAAGGAGGTATGGTGAAGGAAAAAAAAAAGAAACAGGGGACTTAAGTTTTCTGACATTTCCCAGCTGTGGGGCTCTGGGCTAGTCATTTCCCCGTGCTCACGTGGCAGTTACCTGATCCGTAAGTTCTAAGGGCTCTTCCTAGCTCTAAGCTTCTCAGTGTTCATAAAAATGATTAGGTTACCAGCTTTGTTTAGTCTGTTTAGGCTGCTGGTCCACGTGGTGGCGTGTCTTAATAACCACAACTAGCATTCTATAGTGTTTAATATACTCTGTGCCACGCAGTGTTGTGAGTTTTTTCACTTAACGTTGTTTCATTTCGTCTTTACACAAAACCTATCCTGTAGGTGCTGCTGTGAGTCCCATCTTGTATATGAGGTAGCTGAGGCACGGTGAGGTTAAGAGCCTTGCTCCAGGGCGCCTGGGTGGCTCAGATGGTTAAGCGTCTGCCTTCGGCTCAGGTCATGATCTCGGGGTCCTGGGATCGAGTCCCGCATCAGGCTCTCTGCTCCTTGGGAGCCTGCTTCTCCCTCTGCCTCTCTCTCTCTCTCTCTCTCTCTCTCTCTCTCTCTTTGTCTCTCATGAATAAATAAATAAAATCTTTAAAAAAAAAAAAAAAGAGCCTTGCTCCAGGCCTCGTGGGTTATGGTAGAGTGGAGCGAGGCTTCCAGTCCCGGTGGCCAGACTCCAGAGTTCATGCCCTTGACCACTGTATTCACTGCCTCCCTCTGTTGAAGGGAGGGGAGTCCTTGGCTGGGAGAGGAGCTGGGCACCTCCCAGAGCAGCAGGGCAGGATTGGTTGGGACCCATGAACAGATGTCCAGGTCATCTGTTAAGAAGTGACTGACCGTATATTGGAGACTCGCTTTATAAGGGCCACAGCGCGTGGTCCAAACCGTAAGCACTGTAGGCGTCTGGAAGAGGGAGAGCCGTGAGGGCCGGCAGTTGCCGGGAAGTGGTAAAAACTTGAGCTAGACCTTCAGGATGGGTGGAATTTGAGTGGGTGGAGAAATTCTTCCTAGTTGGGGGAGAAGAGCAGGAGCAGAGACGCAGGAGTGCGGGGGCAGAGGGTGTTCCTTTGTGGGCAGTGAGCAGCCCGGCTTGGCAGGAGGGTGTGTTGGCAAAGTCAGTCGAGGCGGAAGAGTTTCGTTTGCCCACGAAGGCGCTGAGCGGGGCACGGCACGAGGGACATGACAGCGGAGGAGAAGCAAGCAGGGAGACCTGACCGGGTGACAGGAATCGCTGGAATGTAAAGCTATGCAGGGCTCCAGGGTTGAAGATGTCTGCTAGAAAGATGTGTTGTAAGTGTCTCCTGTCCAGGGCCGGGACTTAACTGGGGTCAGCCTGCCTCGAGGGGCCCAGCAGAGCACGCTGGTGTAATTGGGATGATTAGAAGAGATGTTGCAAGAAGAAATGGACAGACATTGATGACTGACTAGATGTAAGGGAAGGAGGCAGTGACTCATGTATGACTGTTGTGATTAACTTTTCCCGGAATATGCATGCCGCTGCCAGCTCCTGGAATGGGGTAGGGGAGAGCAAAAGTGAATCCCTAATCAACATGCCTTATTAGAAAGAGCACGGACCATGTCAGTTCCTAAGTAGAATGGGACGCTGTGCTTCATGACCATACAGACTCACTTGAGGTCTGAAGTTGAGTTGGGGGGAGCCACCCACTTGAGTCCCTCCCGCCTGCCCATTCCCCTTTTCGGAAGGCAGTGATCAACCTCTAAGAAATGGTCTAACTTGTTCTGTCTCACAGGCTGCGGGCACGTATACGTTCCACAGCCAACCAAAGCAACTGTTGAGAGCTGTTTTGTTTCTTCAAAAAGAAAGTAGATAGCTAACATTTTCATAGCACTTGCTTTGGGCCGAGCACTGTTCTGAGCATTTTATCTGTATTAACTCAGTTCATCCTCAAAATGACCCTTTTTTGATGGGTTATTATTTTTATCCTTGTGTTACATATAAGAAAACTAGAGCATAGAGAGGTTAAGTAACTATCCAGCTAGTAAGTAGCAGAGCTGGGGCAGGAACTCAGGCAGTCTGGCTCCAGAGTCCATGCTCTTAATCCTACACTCTACTGAAAGTATATTATGTCTTACACATGAGGAGCTGTCAGAGATCTTTACAAGAAGTACAGTCACCACTTATTTATGTACATATCTCAGTGTGTTATATGCATATACACACGTATTCATTTCTATCTAAATGTTTGGAGATTATGTATTTAAAGTTTCTGGACAAGTGTGTGTATGTGTGTGTGCACGTGCATGTATTTTAAAGTATAAGAAGTAGAAAAATCTC